ATATATATATATATATATATATAATTAATAAAATTCTTAATATAATAATATTAATAATTGTGTGTGTGTGTGTGTGTGCGTGTATATAGATATATATATATATTAATAATATTAACATAATAATCAATAATAATACAACAAATAAAATAATAATTCAAAACAATGCAAATTAAGGGAACAAGTTCTCAGTGCGCAAGGTCTGGAAAAAACTAATAATAAATAAATAAATATAAAGAAAATAATAATACATTTGCAACTATATTGATTAAAATAAATAGTACAGTATTTGCTATTAAGGCAGTGACCTGGAAGTTTGTTCAGAATGCATATAATGCACATGGAAACAAATACAGTATGTGAGTCTGTTTGCAGCGTTAGTGTTCATATAAACAGAGCTTTCAGAATCTGACATCAGACTGGACTCATTTCACTGATGACAATGAGTGCATGTAAACATGCCTACAGTCTGTCAATCACTCATCTCTCAGCATACTACAACAGCACGCTGAGATGTGTGTGAAGAGCGTGAGATCAGCGAGTGAACACGATGGCTCGCGGCTGTCTGACAGGTGAGAGCAGCAGATGGTGCGCCCGGCGTGTTTGGGTCAGAGAGAGAGACTGAGAGCCGTGAACACAGAGACCATCTGTCTACGACCAGCACCGCTCATGAGTTATGACCGGAGGAGATATTAATAGATAAACTCACCATATGTCACATCACCACACTTTCTGTCAGCGCTGAACGCAAACCTGTTACTATTCTTACCACTTTAACACGGCAGACTGTACAGTACTACAGCCTACTCACCTAGGCTACACTTATTTGATCTAAAATACAGTAAAAATTTGAAATATTTTTAGAATTTCAAACAGCTGTTTTCTATGTGAATATCTGTTAAACTGTAATGTATTTCTGTGATGCGCAGCTGAATTTTCAGCATCATTACTCCAGTCTTCAGTGTCACATGATCTTCAGAAATCATTCTAATATGCTGATTTGCTGCTCAAGAAACACTTCTGATTATTATCAGTGATGAAAATAGTCGTGCTGCACAATATTTTTGTGGAAACTGATATATTTGATTTTCCAAGATTCACAGATGAATAGAAAGTTCAAAAGAACAGCATTTATTTGAAATAGAAATTTTTGTAACATTAGAAATGTCTGTACTGTCACTTTTGATCAATTTTATGCATCCTTGATTAATAAAAGTATTAATTCCTTTAAAATACAATACATCTTTTAGACCAAAACCTTTATCTTTAGACAAATTTACTATATATATATACACTATACTAAACTAAATACTGTGTGTGTGTGTGTGTGTGTGTATACATATAAATATTTTAAAATATATTTGTTTACTCCATATTGTTTTAAACAAAACATTTTAACATTTTTGTTAGATTAATGAGAAAGAAAAAAATTATTCAAGATATATTGTCTGAAAACAATCTATTTTGTGAACGCAACGAATGCAATTTTGCATTAGTTGCTTTTAAATTAAATGCTTTTGTGTGTGTGTTTTAAGGACTTTTAGATATTTTCACTGAAAATCAACAAACAAGAATACATAAAACACTGCAGTGTGGCTATTATTAAAAAACAATATGTGAAACTTTAGAGAAACGATAAACATTTCAAAAGGTAAAATGCAACATTATATGTCACATAAGCTCTGTATGTTATGAGTGCATGATTGCATTATGGGATACACTATTATTGCACATTAGCATACAGAAAATCACTGCACACTGTGTTTTGTGTCATACTATAATTTGCTGAGCACACATACTGCATGCTGCTTTCTTTCAAAATGAATAATTAGTATGGACTTATATGCTTTCCAAGCCACACTTTTTATGAACACACACACTTTTTAAGCCAAACAGGCTGCAAATGAGATGAACTGTGTGTGGTGTGCTTAAAAACGACATGATCTGAACTGGTTTCTCTGGAATCTTACCTTGTGTCTGCACTTCAGGACGACCCCGTACGCTCCTGCCAGAGAAACAGAGAGAGACAAACAGCTTTTACTCAAACCTTCACCCAGTTCCACCTGTCTTTACCGCGTCTTTGTGAGATGCCAAAGCCTCCGTCCAAAAGCCCCGAGCGTATTGTGTCTGATGAATGAAGCGATTGAAGGGAGGAGGCACTGATTTAGCCGTGACAGAGACTGGAAGAAGCTCCTGTTTTCTCTGAAGACCTGAGGCCCGATCGCTGCCAGAGCGTTTGTTTGTTTAATCAGCCCAATTCATTAGGAATCAAGTCAATTTTAAGGGTAAATTTTTCGAAACTGAGATGTATACATCATCTGAAAGCTGAATAAATAATCTTTCCATTGATGCAAACACTCTGCAGACTGGAGCTCAGGTGTCTGTGAACGAACGCAGTGTTTTTGACGGAAGAGTCTGTGCGGTTTCATATCTGTGGCACTGAACGACTGTCCCGCAGGAGACGCAGAGCTGAGCTCATCCCGAGATCCCAGCCAACAGATCCGAGAAGAGTCACGTTTAGCACAACCTGCTCAATGTGAGAGATACAGAGAGACTTACAGCGTGCATTAGGATGCTTGATGATGGAAAGTCACGATTATGATTATTTTGGTTAATGTTGAGGTCATGATTATTAATCACTGATCATGCATTTACTGAACTTTTTGAGAGTAATTTCCTTAAAAAAAATGAATAAGCAAAAAGCAATAAAATAAAATGTGTGTTTGTGTGTGTGTGTGTGTTTATATATACATAAAAATTATAAATAAATAAAAATAAATTATTATAATGTACACATTACACATTATATATGTGTGAGTGTATATATATATATATAATTTATTATTTTATTCAACAATTGATGTGTTGATATATACAAATTAGGGCTGCACGATAAATCGCATGCTATATTTAACGCGCATCTTATCATAAAAAATAAATATTATATAAAAAAAGTAAACAAAAATTAAAAATGTTGCCTTGACAACTGAAATAAAATAGGTTTGATAATTTGAAGTACTACAATGATTAAAACTGAAACAAAAAATAAATGAAAGCTAAATAGAAATATTTAAAACAAAAAAACTAATAAAAATGGAAAAAAGCACAAAATTACAAAACAAAAATCATTAAATATGAAAATGTAAAAATAGCTAATAATTATTAATAAACACTATACTAGTATATAAATAATAATACTAAAATAACTCTGGATGACACTGGGGATTTATTATTAATCGAAATATTAAAGAAGAAAGAGTCAGAAAGAATACAGATAAACAGTCAAACAGTCATGAAAGTCTGAAATAAACATGCAAACAGATTCACATTTAACTTGAATAGATTCTGGTTTGAATGCAGACGGACAACAGACAGATTTCAAAGCAGCACAGAAGAACATTTTGATTGAGAAGATAAATCTAACTGAACAACTCAAAGGTGTAGCTTGCTTTTCTACCCCCCCCAAAAAAGATGATTCATATGATTAACGATGATGAACTCACTGATTCATATTCTGAGATAATAAGACGTTAAGATTTGATCACTTCACTGTCATGAATAATGAAAAGAGAAAGACGTTTAAGATGGATCAGGATGATTTCACTCCAGCCTCTGCTGCAGGAGACCGTGAGAGAGAGAAATCAGACATTAAATCACTTTAATATCTCAATTAGACAACAATGAGATTAAATGGAGAGCACATGGAGATTTCTGAAATATCCTGTTATTATTGTTAACTACAAATAAAACTACAACTATTAAAATCATTTTTGTTCATTGAAATACTGCAGCTGAAATAAAATCTAATTTAAATTTTAGATGGAAAATTTAAACTAAATGAAAAATTTAAATGCTACCTTGACAACTAACTTAAATAGGTTTAAGCTAAAGTACTAACTGGAAATTTAAATTAAATTAAATTTGAATTTAATTTAATTTATATATTACGTATATATAAATACACACACATACAGTATATATTTTGAAAAATGTACATGTATTTACATGTATATATTTATATTCATGTAATTTATATTATACATAAATATATTTAATATATAAACATAACATATTTTTCTTAAATATATACATGCATGTGTGTGTGTATTTATATATACATAAATATACACAGTAAACACAAATATTATGTAAACAAAAACTTTTATTTTGGATGTGATTAATCGCTATTAATCGTTTGACAGCACTAAAATATAATTATATAATATATATACATTTTAATGTTATTTATTTGAATTTATTTTCTGTTATAGTTTTACCCATTTTAGTACTACAACTCATTTTACTTCATTTCATTCAGTTGCCAGGGAAACATTTCTAAGTTCAAGATAAAATTTATTGTATAATGTTAATTATTATTATTATTATTATTATTATTGATCACTTCACTGTCATGAATAATGAAAAGAGAAAGACGTTTAAGATGGATCAGGATGATTTCACTCCAGCCTCTGCTGCAGGAGACCGTGAGAGAGAGAAATCAGACATTAAATCACTTTAATATCTCAATTAGACAACAATGAGATTAAATGGAGAGCACATGGAGATTTCTGAAATATCCTGTTATTATTGTTAACTACAAATAAAACTACAACTATTAAAATCATTTTTGTTCATTGAAATACTGCAGCTGAAATAAAATCTCATTTAAATTTTAGATGAAAAATTTAAACTAAATGAAAAATTTAAATGCTACCTTGACAACTAACTTAAATAGGTTTAAGCTAAAGTACTAACTGGAAATTTAAATTAAATTAAATTTGAATTTAATTTAATTTATATATTACGTATATATAAATACACACACATACAGTATATATTTTGAAAAATGTACATGTATTTACATGTATATATTTATATTCATGTAATTTATATTATATATACATAAATTTAATATATAAACATAACATATTTTTCTTAAATATATACATGCATGTGTGTGTGTATTTATATATACATAAATATACACAGTAAACACAAATATTATGTAAACAAAAACTTTTATTTTGGATGTGATTAATCGCTATTAATCGTTTGACAGCACTAAAATATAATTATATAATATATATACATTTTAATGTTATTTATTTGAATTTATTTTCTGTTATAGTTTTACCCATTTTAGTACTACAACTCATTTTACTTCATTTCATTCAGTTGCCAGGGAAACATTTCTAAGTTCAAGATAAAATTTATTGTATAATGTTAATTATTATTATTATTATTATTATTATTATTATAGCTTTATATTAATGAGCAGTTTCAGAAGAGATCTCAGCAATAAAAGTCAGAGATCTCAGGATGATTTGATAGTTAACTCTACTGCATACAACTATTTTTATTTCTCCTAATCAAACAAAGCTGATAATTAACCAAAACATAACTGAGCTGCTGAGCTAGAAAAGAGCAATAAACTGTTCCTCTGGGATCATGTGAAGCGTTTGTTTCTCTGAGTCACATTATTTATCCTCCACTTCACAAATGCGATGACATCAGCTGCACTGATGCAAAAGGAGAGGAACCAAAATAACACACACACACACACACACACACACGCGTCCTGCGGCGACGAGGCCTGCGTTATGCACATGATCGCCAGCATCTCCTGAACTCAATGTGTGATAAAGACGTGATGCTGGTAAACTACGCTGAAACCCCGCCCACTCCTCTGCCTCAGCCAGCCAGGAGAAGAGCCACACGTATGGCGTTATTTTAATGACAAATGTCGAGAGTGCATTATTGTAGTGCGAAAGCACATTAATATAATGTGTGAGAGCGAATCTCTCCGCTCGCGCCGGATTTATTTTGCTCTCGCACACTACGCTGAAACCCCGCCCACTCCTCTGCCTCAGCCAATCAGGAGAAGAGCCACACGTATGGCGTTATTTTAATGACAAATGTCGAGAGTGCATTATTGTAGTGCGAAAGCACATTAATATAATGTGTGAGAGCGAATCTCTCCGCTCGCGCCGGATTTATTTTGCTCTCGCACAAAACCGGACGCGCGCGCTCAGATACATGCTGCTCTCGCCCGGAGAGAGTGCGCGCATTTAAAACGTGTCTCTCCTCTCACTCAAACTGTGTCCTGTGCACTCTCAAATCTCTGTGCTCATGCACTATAGATATGAATTCTTTTCGCACCTGAATTAAACGTTGTCAAAACTTATCATTATGCACATATTATCAAAATCAGAACCGAAAACAAACACTGGATTTAAAAAAAAAAAAAACTCCCAATAAATGTCCAAACAGCGATGCT